CCGTGCATGAGGTCTTAAAGAGACAGCAGCCTAAATAAACCTGCTGCTGCCTTTCATTATACAGTGAAGACTATCCAGTGTTATTTTACAGTTGAGTATAGATTATAGTTAGACCTAACTGAAAGTTTTTCAGTTAGGTGTTTTTGTTTTTGTTTGTGCTATTGATTGTCATTAATTTATTTGTTCTTATTTTATTATTTACTATTTACTGTTTTTTTTTTTTTTGTTAAAATAAGGCCATGTCCACAGTTTTATAAACTAAAACAGGTGAAGAAGAAAAGACAAAAGTTAACTGCAAAATAATTAAGAATGAATGTGAAGAATTAGGTGTGAAACCATCAGGGACCTTTTAGTGATAGGTGCTTGATATAAAATAAATGGTGCTTTAAAAAGTCCTTGAATCTGGTGTTCATGAAAGAGTGGGACTGTCTGAGGGCCGTATATTTACCACAGGGACAGCCTGCTCTGAACATTATGCACATGCTGCGCACAGACCACACAAATAAAACGCGTGACGTTTAAAGCATGTGTGCAGCGCGTGCATAACAGTCCTGAGTGCAAGCTGTACCGGTGGTCAATAAGAATAGAGCGCAGATATGCTGTTCTAAATGGACGTCGGGAACAGGATTTTGTTAGACCGCCTACTCCCGTTCAAATTACACCAGAGTTACCGACCGCTACCGTGTTTTATTCGGGAATTTAATCCCGCGGCGCAAATAATCCGGTCGTGTCCCGCGGGAGAGCCGTGGGAATGCAGACCTCTAGTCCAAGCATCTCTTATTGCATATGACAAAAACATATTCCAAGTCTTCTGATGACACACAGTACAGTAACTTTGTGAGACAGACTAAAATTTTCATATTAAAATCAGCATATTCAGTCTTTGCTCTTTGCGGGACCTAAATAACTGTGATCTTCTACAGTAGAATACTATCTGTGAAAAGCTCCAATACACATTGCAGCAAAACCACTTATGCATATCCTAAAGGCAGAATGCATTTCAGTGTATCCTGAGCGCTTTGACTCACAGGGTGATTCTCCTCGTTCAAAAGTTCATAGCTGTTTGATTAGAAATATTGTGGTTGTGCAACATCTAGTTCATGGTATCCAGCTGTTTGTTGAGCCATTTTTGTACTGCAGCTATTTTTAAAGCAGTCTGTTGGGTCTGAAGGGCTCCCAAGGACAAGTAGCACCAAAAAAAAAATGTAAACAAAACCAACTGAAATTAAAGTGATAGTTCACCCAAAAATGAAAATTACCTCAAGGCATCCTAGGTTTATATTACTTTCTTCTTTCAGACGAATATAATCGGAGTTATATTAAAAATGTCCTGGCTCCTCCAAGCTTTATAATGGCAATGAATGGGTGTTGGTATTCAGTAGTCCAATAGAAGGCTTACATCCTACATCATCACACTCTCTTGTGAACACATGTATGACAGTTTTCTTACAAAAAATGCACCGATTCGCTTTATTAACCCCCACAGAGCCGTGTGGAGCACTTTTTGTATGATGATGGACTTCTATTATTGGACTTCTATTGGACTATTGAATATCAACATCCATTCACTGCCATTGTAAAGCTTGGAAGAGCCAGGACATTTTTTTAATATAACTCCGATTGGTTTTGTCTGAAAGAAGAGTCATATACACCTAGGATGGCTTGAGGGTGAGTAGATCATGGGGTAAATTAAATTTTTGGGTGAACTATCCCTTTAAATACTAAAATGGCTTAAAGTGACATAAAATTAAGCTAAATAGAAAGAAATAAAAACTAATGAAAATGACAACAGTACATAAAGTTACTGAAACTTAAACTTAAAATTAACACTAAACATATTAAAATAAAAGCTAATTCAAAATATGAATTAATACTGTAATGGTGTATAACTAGTACTATATAAAAATAACACTGAAACATAATAATAGCACATTTTGTTTTGTTATAGCACAGTTTGTTAAAATGATCAAGAAGTAGCATCTGTTATTTGAGAATTGCTGCTGCTTCCGAATGTCACCTTTTCCTGTCCACAAATAAACAGATTAAAGCTCACCTATCTATCTCACTAATCAACTAGTCGACTAGTCAAATGCTAGGTTATGTGTACAGTGCATGGAAATGTACATTTAGTATCAGTATAAATGTAGTAATCAGCATACACTGAAAAAATCTGACTTTCGAAAAGTTCTACTAACCAATGTAAAGAAGTAGCCTAAACAAAGAATTTTTAGTAGAAGTCAGTTCAACTTTTTGTGTGAACTGAACAAAAATATTCTAAACATGTCGCCAGCAAAAGTTGTTTTGTTTACCTTACTTAGATACTCAAGTATTTGTTCACAACATATCCAAATGTTCTCCCAACTTTTCAAATTGAGTCATCTGAACAAACAATTTTACATTGAACAATATTGCACAAGTTCCCAGCATGCATTGCAGCTTGAAAACATTTTAATTATTATTAAAATATTATCGTTTTAAATTTTACTGGCTTAATTTATGCTGCCGCTGCTGTTGTCACTGTCAGTTATCTGTCATGTGGATCAGAGTTCATATTTTTACTGATTTAAAATTTGTTGATCCTCATCATGATTGAAAATCATGTGCTGAGGTACTGTATATGTGCATCTCATTACAACTTACAACTGCATTTGTCTATCAGCATAAATGTTTGCCTTTAGTTTTAAGAGGCATATACTACCCATATTATGTAGAAGGCTTTGAAAATAAACATAAATTTAAAAGAAAGAGGATTGTTAAAAAAAGATCTTTGGTTGCTCTGACAGATCTTTTAATACTCCGTAGACTGACTTTTATTCATTAGATGAACTAAAGTTTTTAAAGTTGTCGGTTGTCGGAAATTTTACTTTACTTGAAGTTTACTTCACTTCGGAACATTCATTCACAGACGAAACATACTAGAGAAATGTAAAGTGTGACATAATATACCTCTGTAAATAAATACTATTTAAATTCACGTCTCGCACACTTTAATGTCCTTTGAATGGAACATATACGCTCGTTTCGAACTGGAATCATGGTGGAATATCTGGTGATGTCCACTTCGCAGGGCACTTAGAACAAATGTTGTATGTGATAAGAGAAACATA